GGAAGGAAGGAGTAATACATCCTTCACCAAATCATTCCAAATTGTCAGAGACACAAACATCCATTTATTTTTTAAATAGATTTTATCTTTCATCGAAGCAAAAGACCAAGTTATGGTATTTACAGAAGGAGGCCGCAGCAGGGTTGTATTCTGCGCAGACATTAGCAAGTGATGGTAGTAAAACAGCACTGTACCATGCGCGGTTGCATTGACGGCTGCCTGGAGAGGGATTGATTACTGACTATGTGAACTCAGGCTATATCAGCCACGAGAGGCGAAGTGGAGCCGCTCGTCCTGCGATTACGACGAGCGTTCGACCACACGAAGCTTCGCCAGAACGGTCGATGCTGCTTCAGGAGATTGCCATTGCTGCTGCGGCCGCCGTTGATGATCTCAAGTTGGGAGCGCCGCAGCATTTCCCACATTACTTGCACGTCCTCGTACCCGCAAGTCTGAACGTCGTTGTGAAGCATCAGAATCCCGCCACCTGTTACAAAACGGAAAACCCACACCCACACCCGCCGTTAGTCCGTTAACTCCGTTTCCCATCTTTTTTTTGGTTGAAGTTGATCACATAATAATTGAATAAACAAATAATAAATCATGTGTAATATCTAGCTAGTAGCTAGTGACTGAGGTGCTTCCAAGTTCCAAGTGGTCACGATTTCTGATTAGTTAAATAATAAACTCTCATTTCGTAGACGACAAATGCGTTATTATTAATATATATGATATTATTTATGGCTCCGCGTCGGTAGGCTTTTGGCTTGGACGGAGACGGTCCACTGAAGTTTCTGATTCTATTTACCAGAAGTGGAATTAAAGATCGTTAAACGGTAAGGAGGATCTCGAACTCCTACAGGCTACAGCCATTTGATCAAGAATGCTCCTCAAGGGGAAATAAACAACATAATTATGATTGCTTCCTCTTCTTTACTTTTAATTACCACTTGCTGACAAACTCACATGGCCAAATCAAGATTTTTTTTTTAATAACTAATGATTAAAGGAAGGGGCAAACAAATAAGATCATGGGTAATCAAAATCTTACAAATTGTTTGAAATTCAGAAAGAAAGTGGCCAACTTTCGGCGTGTAGATGTATATACCAAAGGAATATTTCGTACAATTTTCTTTATGCAGAATGGAAAAATTAAAATTGGAAGGAGTTTATACAGTCGAATTAGTATTTTTGGAGGAATTTATTATTATATATTTAAATTACCAGCTAAACAATTCTCTCGTCGGCAAAATAAATTAATAAAAAGAACTGCTTGCAGTTTCAACTTCGAAATCGAGTTAAACGATTCTCCGATTTGCTTGATTTTCCCTAGTTTTACAATAATTGGCTTTATATACGTTTTCCCGAAGAAAGGAATTTGTCGGAATTAAAACGAAAGGAAAGAAAGAAGCCGACAACAAGAAGCAAAATCGGCGGGCGATGGGTCAAAACTGCAAGAACAGGGGAAGGGAGAGCGAACGGGAAGGAAGAAGTAGAGAAATAGTATTATTACCGTGTTTGCGGGACTTGACGCGAGCAGAAACGGCGACCCAAACGCGGCGGACGGGGAAGATCACTTTGTCCCACCAATCCATCAATCTATCCTTTACTCTGAATCCTTTCCTCTTGCCAGCGCCGGCGACGAAGTAGCACCACTTCCGCCTGAATCCGCCGTCGCCGTCCTCGCTGCTGCGGGGCGCTGCTTCTTAACCCCGGCACACCTCTTAGATTACTCCTCCTGCCGTATCACGCAGCAGCAGAAGAGAGAGAGAGAGAGAGAGGAGAGGTGGGCTTTTAGCGTTGGGCACAAGTAGTGTTATTATGGTGTGTGATTTTCCTACCTCCATTTTTATTCACTGATCTTTTCTATTCTTTTTAATTTCATTTTTGTTTTTAATTTAATTATGACCACCAATAAATTGTTTTTGATAAAATAATGAAATATCAAATAAGTGAAAGAGAGGGAGAGAGAAAATGATGGAGGGAAACAATGTTGTCAGAACCGAACTGGAGTATGATCTGGTAATGCGAACGACTCGTTCTTTAGTGGTCCAACCGACATTAGACCGTTTAGAAACCGTTAGACAACCGGTACCTAATAAACGTTATCAGTATAAATAGTGGACATTTCTTAATCAGAGCTCGTATATTTTCTTCGAAATTGTGAAATGGAAATAAGGATTCAGTTTGAGAGCCGGACGTTTTTTTGTTTATTTCAATTTTCTGCAATTTTTTAAATTAAATTTAACGGCTGAATGGCAAAAACCGGACGAGCGGCTCGAGCAATTAACCTTCTCGGCCGCTCGTCAACCGCTATATGAAACCGGAGCGACTTTTAGATTATTCAGAGCCAATTTTATGATTGAGTGGTGGTTTTATCGATCCGACCGAGCGGCTCGGCTCGACTTTAATAACACTAGAGGGAAGGGAAGGCCATGGTCCGTTACACTGTCGTTAGCGTTATGATAAACATGAATATTACAAATAATTAATTAATTAATAAATGGGAATCACGGGGGAGCACCGACACGTCACTCCACATTTTTCGCGGGTTTTAAACCGTCCAGTCAACTTCTCACAGGGCGGGCCTGCTTTTCTAGCCGCCCACCGCTCTTCCTTTCCGTTTCTTTTGTCCTTTGCCTTCAAAGTTAAAACCGATTCTTTTGCAGGTATAACTTGTGTGATTGTGAGTGAGTGACTGGTCAATCGCTAACCTTGTTAAACTATGGGTAGTTCTTTGAAATTTACCCTTGTAATTATATTATAGTTAAGGTTTTATGTGTCCCTTGCCCTTCCTTGCGTAACTCCTATCCTGGTTGGGTTTAGCAACCAAGGACCAGATTAATTGAGGCTTGAACTATACCATATCGAGTTGAGTGGTCCAATTTCTTGATTCTAAGATGTCTTACACTACTGGACTGTGATTCTCAGAGTTTGGTTTGGTTTGGAAGACTGGAACGGACAGTTGCACACCCCTGATTTTAGTCTAGTAGAACCTATACGTTCAAATCTCGTTGGAGTCTAACAACGTATGATCAATACGAGTGTTCAAAAAACACACTCATTTGGAGGAATCCACATCAGGGTGGTCGATATGAAAGGCTTCTGCCGTTGAATTAATTTGGTCCACTTTGTACTAATCGAGAATGTTATTACTCTTTGTTTAAATGAAGTTTGGCGGACGTCAATCCCAACTACACATATATAGCTCCCCGCAAATTAAAGGAAAGGGGCAACGAAAGCAAAGGTGGCCATTATCTAAGTTGCTGTCGGTTCAAAGTTCAAACTTTACTCTCACGAGTTGCTTTGACCAAAGAGCAAATGGAGGGGATCAGGTTCTCTTGTCTCCCAAGCAACTGTTGAGCCCTTCACCAGCTTTCATCAGTGGAAAAAGAAGAAAGAATGCACATTTTATAGCCTAAAGGTGTAAGAACCCACCACCATTTGTTTGATAGATTAAAGCTTGTGTATCTTTGACCCTCACCCCCTAGCCTCTTGATGCTTTGCTTTCCTCTTGTGCGTAATATATTTCCTTTAATTTCTTTTTTTGATGATGAGGGGGTTCTTGTATATATATTCCAATTAAAGTACTTATATTGTGCATGTAGAACTTAGAAATAGGGTTAATACTCTTTAATTTTGACTGTGGTATAAATTTTTTGAGATGAACTTTGTGGCACGACCATAATTGTGTTTGGAAAACCATTGTGGTATTTGGTCAATACCATTATAGTAAAACCTCCATAAAAATAATTGAATGCTCGATAAGTTAATATTTTATCTGGTCCCGATTCAGGCCAATGTAAAAGATAAGTTAATATTTTTTTTTTTTGTGGATCAATGTACATAAATATTTGTATTTTGAATTATAGCAATAAAATTGATTAAGAAATTACAATGTAACTAAGATAATCTAAAAATGTTAAGTTCATGGGGGTATTCAAAATAATTATTTTTTAATTTGGACGATTATGAAAATACTAAGCACTCTAAAAGTTAGTTAAGTTTATCAAAATAATATATCTCTCAAGGCTGGTTACAAGCTTGGTTCTCTCCCTATGAGTTGTTTAGGCATTCCCTTGCTTCGAGGCAAACTCTCTAGTCTCTATAAAGGCTTGTAGGCCTCTGATTGATAAGTTGAATCCACAGATACAAGGCTGGACGAATGGAGTTTACTGCATCCATGCATGTGGATGACAATTGCATTTTGCAAGCTTTCATCTAATGCAATTATTGGCTATTTAATTTGCAGTCCAAATCTCCGTGTCGATATAGAGAAACAAATACGCAAAGAACTGTATTTGACAATATGAAAGCATGATTAATTCGAGCTGATCCATCCGATGACCGCTCTCTCTGAAAATTCTCCGATAGCGTCCGCGCTCGACCCTTCTGGCCGGCCGCCGGACCTCCTCGGTACAGCTCAAGTACCGCCGATTTCTGCCAGTCAATCTACAATAGATCGGGAAATACACTCTGCTCCGATGGTGCTGGATAACATTGCTGTAGAAAATCAATCATCCCTGAGTCTCGGAAGGGAAGTTTCTGGGGAGAAGGCAGTCCCGGCAAAGCCACTCCCCCTCTCTTATGCAAAGGCGGTGACTGGAGCTGGGCAACAAGAACCGCTAGAAATCCAGAAATGGACTCCAGTTGGGGAAAACGATCTGGTTCCAGGGCTAGTCAATGGTGAACCGGCGTTGCGTCTTTCGGATGGCTTCAAAGGCAGGCTCTGTGCGCCATGGCAAAAAACTCTTGTAGTTCGTCTGCTGGGTCTTCGAATCAGTTTCACGACTTTTGGATCCCGTCTCAGAAGTCTATGGCGCCCCACGGGAGCCATGGAAATAATGGACCTCGATGATGCCTGCTATCTTGTACAACTTTCCAACGAGCAAGATTATTTCAAAGCTCTCACTGATTGTCCCTGGGTGATCTATGATCACTACCTCGCCGTCCAACAATGGTCTCCAAACTTTGGGGTTCTTGACCCCCTCCCAAAGAAGATGATTGTCTGGGTTCAATTACCTGCTCTAAAAGTGCACTTCTACCATCGAGAGGTTCTCATGACTCTAGGTAATCTTATCGGTCGAACAATCAAGCTCGACTATCATACACTCAATCGACAGCGGAGGAAGTTTGCCCATCTGGCGGTCGAGATCGATATGTCCAAACCTTTGGTTCCCCGGATTTTCTTAGACGATTATTGGCAGAAAGTGGAGTACGAGAACCTACCGGTCGTCTACTTCGAATGCGGCAAAATTGGACACAATACAGATGCTTGCCCTCTCCTCCGTCCGGCGGCGAACCTGCTTCAGGTGACCGTTGCCTGTGACGGTACTCCGGCAGAGCCGGCGAGGTCTGTGGAGGAGTCAAATCTGGGTTTTGGGCCTTGGATGTTGGTTTCCAAAAAAAGCCGACGCAATTCTAGGGATTCCTCGAAAAATGGTAAGGCAGAGGCTGATATGGGAAGTGGAGGACAAGGAAAGGCAACTGGGTATGGGAAAGGAGGGATAAGAATCAAGGAAATGGAGGAATCAACATCCACATCCAAGGCGCCGAAGGCGGCGGATCTCCAACGGACACAGAACCAGGAAAGGAAAGGGATTCAGACTCTGAAGGAAGGAAGCAGCTCGGGTTCGATGGGGAAAAACAACAAAGGAAAAGAGGTTCTCCAAGATAGTAAAGGGCAGGGAAAAGGGCTTTTAGGGCCAGGCCCAAAGCAGGGCAACAGTGGGATGAGTGGACCTAGGCCCACATCGGGGCCAAACCAAGCCTCTACTTCGGCCTCTAAACAGGTTCAGCCAAGCCCGCAGAGCACACCGACCGGCCCACCTTTTCCTCAAACAGGAGCTGCCTTACAGACGAGCAGGCCCACAGAGACCACAACTCTGCCTGAAGTCCAAACGGTGGTGGGAGAGAATGGCACCTCTATGCGAATCTTCTCAGTGGTTTCATCCCCAAAAAAGCACCGGCAAACAGAGACGAAGTCGCCTTCGGCGGGAGAACGTTTCAAGCAAAAAAAGGCCCCAAAAAAGCAGTCAAAGAAAGGAACCCCTGTCAAACTCAGTCCTTTGAAAGCTCTTCAAGTGTGGTCTCCTGTGAAAGATAGGAAGGCTAAATCGAGGGCTCGGATGGCGACTTTGACGCTCCAGGAGATCAATGCTTGGACCGAGGCGGCCGGGAAAGTTGGGGGAATTTCTGAACGAGAGGAAGCAAAGGCTGGGAACACAGATCTGCCGGAAGTCACGCCGGGGATGGATTCAGCTTCCCCCGTCCCCCAGTAGCGGGATTCATCGGCCTGCCTCCTGCCCCCTTTTGCGCGACCTCTTCCTCTTCTTTTCCTCCCTTTATACCTTTTTTATCTATGTCAGATTATGTTAATTTAAAAATTTTAGCCTGGAATGTTGGGGGCGCTGGCAGCAGGGCTTTTGCTCGCGCTCTCAAATTGATTATTCAGAACCATAACCCTGATTTTATTGTTCTTTTGGAACCGCAGATTAGCGGGAATGCGGCTAATAAAGTCTGTGACAGCCTGGGTTTTCCGGACGTGATTCGGGTGGAGGCGGATGGGCGCCAAGGTGGCATTTGGATCTTTTGGGATGCTCGAAGATTCAAAGCCCAAGTCGTGTCTGTGTGTTCTCAGCATGTTTCAATCCACGTCTCCCAGGACACCATGCCGGATTTGATTCTTACGGCTGTTTATGCTTCGCCGCAAGCAAACCGGCAACACTCGCTGTGGGACAGTCTCCTCGCTCAGAGTCAGAAGATCAATATTCCCTGGATTCTGACCGGGGATTTCAACGCTATCAAGTCCCCCTCTGAGAAGTCTGGTTCTGCTTCGGTGGCAGCCATTCGCAGATGCCGTGTGTTCACAGACAGGATCAACTCTGCGGAGCTGGTAGACCTCGGGTACTCTGGACCAAAGTTCACCTGGTCAAGGGGGAATAATCCGAATACCTACAAGGCCAGCAGAATTGACAGGAGCTTATGTAACATGGCCTGGAATTCCACCTTCCCCGTCTCAACTTTGATCACAACCCAATTCTCACCTGTGTTGCTTCCCAGGGGCAATCTTCTCCTATCCCTCGTGCTTTCAAGTTCGAAGCTGCTTGGCTGACTAATAATACTTTGTTGAACACTATTGCAGGATCCTGGGACACTACTGCTCCTCTTCCAACTGCGCTGAAGACTTTGAGCGCGGATCTCCAGGAGTGGAACAGGGATGTTTTTGGAAACATTCATCAAAGGAAAAGGCGTCTGATCGGTCGAATCCGAGGAGTGAAGATGCGTCTCTCGGTGGTGTTTGAACCGGGATTAGCCAAGCTTCACTCCAAGCTGCAGGCTGAGTTGGAAAGTGTGCTTGAGCAGGAGGAGCTGATTTGGTATCAAAGAGCTAGAGAAAAGTGGGTTAAGTTTGGGGAGCGTAATACCAGTTATTTCCATCAGCTGGCAAACATCAGGAGGCGCAAAAACAAGATTAAAGCACTGAAGGACCCGGCGGGCACTTGGATAGAGGATCCCCATGAGTTGGCGTGTATGGTTTTTGATTTTTATACTAACCTCTACTTGCAGGATAATTCTCTGTATGAGGACAAGATGCCCAAGAATGCCTTCCCCCGCCTGGAGCAGACGGAGCTTCTTACTTTGCTCCGGCCCTTTACCATTATGGATATCCATAGAGCTGTTTTCGAGATGAAGCCCTTCCAGGCTCCCGGCCCTGATGGCTTCCACGCGGCCTTCTACCAGCAAGCTTGGATCGTGGTTGGGAAGTCCTTAACAGATATGGCTCTGGCTTTTTTCTCTTCAGGTGTTCTCCCGGAAGAGGTCTCGGAGTCTACTGTCGTGCTCATCCCGAAGGTTGACCACCCGGAGTTGGTGACCCAGCTCCGTCCTATCTCTCTCAATAATGTCAGCCTTAAGGCCATCACGAAGGCGATCACCAGTAGACTGAAGCCGATCATGAGGAAGCTGATTTCCCCTCGCCAAAGTAGTTTTATCCCAGGCAGATAGACGACGGACAACGTTGTTATTGTCCAAGAAGTTCTGCACTCCCTTGGGAAGAGGAAGGGAAAGAAGGGCGGCATCATCCTCAAAATCGATCTCGAGAAAGCTTATGACATGCTGCGATGGGATTTCCTTCGTGACACTTTGAAGGAAGTGGGGCTACCCAGCTCCTGGATTCAGTGCATCATGTACTGCGTGGAGCAGAACAAAATGCGCGTGCTTTGGAACGATACCCTCTCCTCCACCATCACTCCTTCCCGTGGTGTTCGTCAGGGAGATCCTCTTTCTCCCTATCTTTTCGTTTTATGCATGGAACGATTGTCCCACAGAATTGATGAGGCCCTTCATAGTGGTCAATGGAAGCCTATTCGTCTTGCTAGGAACGGACCTCCGCTTACTCATCTTTTCTTTGCAGATGATCTGTTACTGTTTGCGGAAGCGGAGATGAGACAGATTAGGGTCATCAAGCAGTGCCTTGAAGACTTTTGTTCCAGTTCCGGGCAGCGTATTAATTTTGATAAATCTTTGATGTTCGTGTCACCCAATGTCGATAGGTGCAAAGCGCGTTCCCTAAGCGAGAGAGCGGGGATTCCGCTGAAGACGGAGCTTGGCCGGTACCTTGGTATTCATGGCATTCAAGGCCGGGTGACTAAAGGGCGATACCAAGGTCTTATCTTGCGGATTCAGAAGAAGTTGGCACCCTGGAAGGCGAAGCGCCTTTCTCTTGCGGCTCGGCTGACGGTGTCCAGGTCTATCATTTCCTCTTTACCTACTTATCATATGCATACAGAGCTTCTGCCTAAGGGTGTGTGTGCTTCCATTGATCGTATCAATAGGGATTTTTTTTGGGGAGAGGAAGAGGACAAGAAGAGAATGCACCTAGTTTCCTGGGAGAAGATGGTGTTGCCAAAGAGTCAAGGTGGAGCGGGGCTTCGGTCAGTGAGAAATGCGAACCTCGCCATGTTGGCTAAGAGTGGATGGAGGCTTCTTAAGGAGAAAGATATGCTCTGGACCCAAGTCATCAAAGCGAAATATGGCCAAAACAAGGAGAATCTAGATCTTTTTCATCCATCTCAGGGAAGTTCCTTTACTTGGAAAAGTCTTACTAAAGCTTCCTCTTTGCTAAAAGGAGGTTGTGCGTGGAATATTAGGAACGGGAGAACTACTAAATTTTGGCATGACTCATGGATTTTGCAGGAACCGCTCAAGAACTTCGCTTTGGAAGAGATACCTAGCTCTCGGATCGATGAGGTCGTGGCGGACCTGACCACGGATGAGGGGGCTTGGCGGACAGATCGCTTAGAAGGCCTCCTTCCACAGGAGATCCAACAAAAAATCACTGGAGTGGCGGTGGACAAGTTGGCAGAAGAGGAGGACACGCTCTTCTGGTCCTTGTCTTCAGATGGAAGATTCTCCGCGAGATCGGCCTACCAAGCTTTGCTGCCGCCGGACACCGACATTGATACCAAGTATTGGAAGATTATCTGGAGACTTCCGGTTCCTGAGCGTATAAGGTGCTTCATGTGGCTAGCCTGCTTGGGGAAATTGATGACTAACTCCCTCCGTTTCTCCAGGCGCATAGCAGACTCTCCTCTTTGTGTTCGCTGTAATGGGCAGGTGGAGTCCGTTCTCCATGTTCTCAGAGATTGTGCTCCAGCAGTTTACTTCTGGACCAGACAAGTTCCCAGCAACAGGCAGAACAGGTTTTTCTCTATGGCAGCAGCTGATTGGTTTCGCATGAATCTCGATGAAGCAGATAGTGGAGGATCGGATATTGAGTGGCCAACTTTTTTCAGCATAGCCGCTTGGCTTATTTGGAAAAATAGGAATGACATGTGTTTCAAAGGAGTATCTCGAGCTCTTACTCCACCTTCTCTTGCCCACTCCATCAAGGTCAAAGCAAGGCTCTGGAATGAAGCTTGGCTCGCCCCTTCTTTGCTGCCGAACCTGAAGGCGACCCCAGCCGCCAGGATTGTGGCGGAAATTGCTTGGACTCCTCCGGTGGAGGGATGGGTGAAGCTGAATACAGATGGTGCCTCAAATGGGAACCCTGGTCTGGCTGGTGCGGGTGGTGTCTTGCGGGGGAACTCAGGTCAGTGGATCAGAGGGTTCGTGGCTATGATTGGGCAGGCAACTGCGGCTTCGGCAGAGTTATGGGCGATTTTTCACGGCCTCGAGGTAGCGTGGAAGTCCGGACATCGTCAGCTAGTGGTAGAGTCAGATTCTCAGCTAGCCATCCAGCTGATAAAGGACAAACATGACCCGGTGCATCCGTATGCCACTCTTTTAGCGTCCATCCGTAGGAGAATTAATCGTGATTGGCTGGTGCGTATTGTTCATGTATACCGCGAAGGGAATAGAGTCGCGGACTGGCTCTCGAAGCACAGTCTCGTCTATCCCTACGGTGTGCATGAGCTTGCACACCCGCCGTCAGGTGTTGTGACCATTCTTCAGGATGACATGAGGGGAACGTCTTTTGAGCGACGTGTTGTCCCTCGTCATTCTATCTCCTCTCCTCACTCCCCTCTCTCCATGTAATCCTCTCTTTCTTGGCGTCTGCCTCCCCCTAATGCAAAAAAAAAAAAAATCTAATGCAATTATTGATTGCAAGGAATTTTTTTTATTAAATCATTTATTATTCTTGTTATTTAAGTGTTTATGTTTTTATAATTAAATAAAAAAATTAATTGCAAGTTCATTGCATTGAATGTGAGTCAATGAAAGTAATATGAGTTAGATTGGAGAAAATTTTGAAGTGGCAATAAAGAGCACACATGCAATTTTATGTGCAACTGTATTGATGTGGATGCTCTTAACCTTCAAAATTGCAAGTAAATTGCATTGTTGCAAGTGCAATAAAATGAAGTTGAGTTGGGATTGCTTACCGTTTGAGATGGCAATAAACCCATCATATACAATTGATTTGGCAATTACATTGATATTGTACTATAATATAATCTCATTATATCAATAAATTACTAATTAAAATTACTCTAAAACATTAATTTCACTATGCCAGCTATGTTAATTTGAAGAAGGTTTACTATATATTCAACGCTCCATTTGACATTGTTCGATCATCTGCAAATACAAATATTCATGCAAACTGAAATAGTTAATAAATGAAATAGTGAGTGGTGGGGTTACCATTATCCTTTTTGGAGTGACGAATCTTGTGAAAATGAATTTGTCCACTTTTCGGGGGGTTGTGCTTCGCAAATACCATTTTGTAACATTTGTACCTGAAGTGTATATCCATTTGTAAAAGCAAGTTAGCTGG